CGATCGTTGTTCTAAAGGTGAGACGCATAGTGCAACAACTGGTTCAACAATTCGTTCCCCCACCCGCCCACTCCACCATGACTTTCTCCCTCGCCTTGTACCAAGGACAAGGCACTATCGATCGTCACGTAAGCATTGCACGCTGGTGCATTCCATCGACTATCAGCACGCGGGATCGTGTTTTCCGCCGAGTGTCAATCAGGACAGCAAAACTGCAGACATCGTCAGTCTAACTGGTCCGGACACGGGTATAGAGGCTAAGGTGTACGGTAAATGTCCTGTTTAGGATAACCGTAAAGCGGTATTCGCAACAGGTATCGTAGGCCGACCACCATCGATTTTGAAGGTCATTGCCCCTACGGCACGCGTTTCGTGCACGCCTGTGTGTGCGTCTGTTTGTACACATTGGGTGCGCGATATCTGGTTTTTGGATGAAAGTGAATGTTTCCACAGCATGCGTTTCAGGCCAAATGAACGCACGGGAGATAGACCAACGATGCGAAATCGCATCACAGTTGGACTCCTGAGGAGCCAATACGGGATATCAGGAAAACATTAAAATATGGATGGCCTTGAGGTAATAATAGGCAACCAGAATGATCGCTGTTGTGGTAGAGAAACTGGGAAGATTGCCAGGACAAATTATCAACTTCCTCGTGTACCGAAAACAAGGCTTGGAGGTCGGATGGGGTGAAGGGCGCTCCTATGGTTCTTTGTTGTGAGGACGGTCTGACCTCTTCCTGCCTTCAGAAGATGTACACGAACTCCACCTAATTAACGGAGATAACATAATAAGCTATTGCTAAAAGTGTATTTGAGAATTATTTGTTTGAATTCGAGAGAAACTTCAGGGATGCAGACTGTTGGTCATCATCATCAAACACAAAACCAAGGCATTCATAAATCATGCTGGCGATTCGGAATAATCCAATGGTGGAACAAATCCTATTACTGCTATGATTAATGTCATTGATCTGACCGGTGGAATCATCGAGTTCGGGTCGTCCTTTTAGACCCAGTACATATTGTTTTCCTTTATTAAAACCAAGTGCCGTATTCTTCATAACCATCTAAGGTTTCAATACAAAGGGCACTTCCTCAGAGCCAAAGATACTCCATGGTTCTACTTTTGAAATTCCTACTATTTAATGAACAAGAATTTACATTTGCTTCCTTTCTTTATCTGTGGGGTTCAAAATGGTTCAGAAACGAATGTGAATCATTCTAGTTTGGCGAACAAAACACCGAGTGTGTTAGTTACTCCTCCTAAGGAGAAGTTAGATTATCAAAATGAGTAATCCGTCCATAAATCAGAATAATGTATGCCCATTGTTAGATAAGCTTAAGAAGAGAAGCAATGTGCTTGCAAGCCGAGAAACAGAAAAACTGGAAAGGATAGTTGGTTTCATCCGGATGCTGAGAATTGCCTCATCCAAAATAGTGATTTTGACCGTTTCCCTGGGAGATGACTTGCCTTTGAAGCTCCACAACCGAGGTCCACCAGTGGTCACTTTCATCAGTCATTGCTGATGCAAACGTCTAGGCGAAAACAACAGAAACAACAATTGCGCTTCGTTGTAGGCCTCGTTTTTACAATCATTTCTGTCATATTTATTGGTTATCATTTCCTTCTCACCAACGGACACAGCAACATCTCCTGTTGTGTTTTTTGTTGACCTAATTTCCTCTCATCTTGTTACGTGTCTTGCTAAGCTCCCTGTTTATTGTTGCAGAGAACGTTCATTTTTCTTGTCTCAAGATTTTATATTGCATTCGCCTGGTGAATAAGTACTCCACATAACTCAGCATCTAGTCACATTGCTTATGAAGTAGCAATTGTGCTTTTTGAACAAATCGAATGCCCCACCAACTATTCTGATCATCGCTGCTAATCAATCCCCAAGATTGCTACTAAATCTGGCTTCCATAAAATCACTCTTACAGTGGGTACCTTTTAGCCGGACGAAAGAAGGCGCAAATGTAATCGGAGGGCGGTTAAATGGTTCAAATTTTCTAGACCGCAACCTGGAGTTCCTGAGTCAGAATTCTGCCACCATTGCCCGTCTTCTCTGTTTCCTCAGGCCGGCTTTAATTGAAAATTGATTTTACATCGGTTTACTTAATAAACACAAGTGAAGTAAAATCGTCATTGTCAATAAGGTAAGTTGACGGTGTAAGTGTGAATCCTCTTCTTAGGCATGAGATATATCGGGTCCTCTATCTTTACACCAACGGCAGATTTGGATTGATCTCAAAATAGTCAAAGACAGTAGAGGCAGTTTGCAGCTGCTGCCCAATTGAATCAGATCTCTTCTGTCTACCCAGTTTTCGAGGAATTCAGCCATATCAAACAGGTTTGCGTCACGACTGTTTAACCGTGTCTTAAAACGATCAAGGCTTGTGGTCCTGGTCGGATTTACGATGAAAAGTTCTAAAAAAAATGTGGCAGAAGAGCTTGCGGAATTTGTGACTCAGACGCTCAACTCATGCTTCTGTGTGTTACGTGATAGAGATGTGACAGTGTTTGGGGAATACAGGTGGAACTCGAATGCCTATACTTATGTGAATTTATTGTTAAAAAGAAACATATTTACACATCTCGTGTCCTCCCTGTTCAAATCGGTTGTCCCATCGGTTTTTTATTTCAACCCCGATGCGAGTACGATTATCACATTCAATTGCACGTGCCTTGAACAAAATACTTGGAACGGTTAGGTCAATTCTTTTTGATTAATTACATTCTCCATGAGAATGGGGCGCGGTCTGATTTGGTAAAAATTTGGAAATATCTCTTCTGAAGGTAGTCACAATTTAATCCCTGCGGCTTTTAGGTGCTATCAGCCCCAGTGACCTCAGATGTTCTCCAAAATGCCACCAAGTCCCGTTTCTCTCCTTTTTACACATTGAATACCTACCAATAAATAGCATGTTCACTCTTGTAAGTGTGCTGACGATATTGGGGTTGGGTAACTCTATACTAATTTCGGCCTTGAAAATGGCACGTTTTATGTGAACTTACCATTTCACACCGTTTCCGTTCGCACCGACCCTAAAGCTGCCAGTGTAAATTACCGTACTCTAACGCCTTCCCACGCTTTGCATATTTAAACAGATAGTTGACCGCCTATCAGCAAACTAAGAGGCTGCCTAATTAAATAACGTGAGCTGTTATGTTCGCGCTTATCGGCTAACGCTTAGCTACTCAATTTTTATAGTAGCGTTATTTTCATTCCTCTTAGTTGTTGAATCATGCTGAAAATCCAGCCATCTTGAGAGCATAAAGCTTATTTCGACTGTGGTGAAATTTCGTCAAACTGGTTCCAAATTTTGCTTTTTTGCAGATCTCTTAGATCTGATTACCAGTAAATTGAACTCAACTGGCCATTGAAATCAAATTCCTATTTTGATGGTGGCAATATTAAAACGTGCGAAATAAACCATGTTTTGATGACACTACTCCAGTTCTGAGCGAGGAAGCACAGGGCGAAATGTAGCGGAAATCAGCTTTCTAACTAGCTGTCCTTCAGTTCAATCCTCGAACGTTTACCCTTAGGTAAGCTGCGCAATCGAGAACCCAAACAAAGTGACATTCACTCCAGTACGGAGAGCTCATCACTAGTGAATTTATATTCACGTATTCGATGGATAAAAAGAACTTCATACGTCGGTAAAACAACCGTTGTATAATATTGTATCTCCGATAAGATTATCCTATTCGATGTAATAGTTTTCACTTCAGCTAAGGATAGTCCTCGAGTTCAAAAGACCAAATGTGTTCTAAACGTGTTTCACTTCAAGGATACCTTGGAAAACTATATATTTTGGGCAGCCTGTTTACAAATTTTGATCCAAAAGTGGTACTTGAAAAAGCGGAACAAGCACAACGAAAACAGCACCACAAAAATGTCAACAACCGTAATCTTAGTTTCGAGATCTCTTGTTACAAAACGCCTCATACTATTTGTAAGGCTTACAAATTAAATACTGTCCACCTCTCTTGGAAAAAGCATAATTTTAACGGATAATCATCAGCTCCAACTGGGTGCCCCAGCAGGTTGCTGCTATCCATCAGTGGTCTACGACAAGCTTTGCCAAGTACCACCAAGATAGAACAATACACACAATATTGTTTTAATTCAATAACCGACTGTTGTGGTACTGTTGTCGTCCGGTTTAGAAGACCCGTACACGTTCAGCCCGGAAGGGTTCGTAAGCCATAGAGTATGTTCATTCCAATTAGGAATACCTTGTTACCTTTTTGTTCAATGTAACGCAAATAAGGACTGTCTCCTGAAGTCGATGTAGGGTTCTCGCTGTAATGCTATTTTCAAGGAGGTGGGAAAGCGAAAAGCTAATATGCGGGTTTAGAGCCACATTGAAGAACTGCAAGTCGCTAGCACATCCAGGAGAATTGGATTACCCGCATTTCAAAACTCCAAAAGATCAGGAGCACATAGTACATGTGATTCGCGGTACAAACATGGGGAACTGTGACCAGCTGGTCGTCAGGCCCCCGCTTAACGCGCGGCTCAGCTGTCCTACCGGTTAGGCGTTGTTGAATCACCGGTTTGAGATATAAGAGAAAACAGTCTGCTTTCGTTTGCTGTACCTAGCACTACTGCTATCGTAAACGAATAATCATCATGCACTGGTTCTTTTACCATAAAAATGGGTTTTATTATGATTTGTTTGATACAGTTTCATTCGTTCGGTCGCTATAAACATAACTGGTCATCACTGCCATTGTTGGTGATGAAAAATGAACGCCAGAACGCATCTGTACGGTTTCATCTGCTTATTGCCATCTCGAAGAATACAGGTTGAGTTATGTACAAAGTACCAAAGGTAGCAAGGTACTTTGAGCGTGATGCCTTTTAAATGAGAAATATCATTTTATTCGGTCTATCAAATTATTCGTGTGTGACTTTAGGCATAGAAGCATCATTTTATTGGTTCGGGCAGTGGTCATTCGAGAGGAAAGCCGGCTCCATGAATGTCTCTGATTGCCGCCGAAGACGACATGATCATGAACAAACTTGGGAGTTTGGTACGAAAGACGTCCCCAACGTTACTCAGCGTATTTTATTTTGAGGGCGCACCTCTAGCCATTGCATAACCAAATGCGAACTGCAAGATAGCATGAAGTAATCCCTCACATCGGAAGTGAGGGGGTCAGTGGCGTTAGTTTTCAAAGGCCAGTCACATCGACCTTTGTCACGACACCGTTATTGGGCTTATGCGGCTTCTAAACAAGAGCCAGGTAACCAGCCTGAATCCACCACACCCTGATAGTGCCTTCGCTTTTTGTTCCCGACTGCTTATTTGATGCGGTATGCCATAACGTATTCACAGCTAACCTTCTTCAGTGAAGGCATGCCCCATCCACAACCCGGGGACGCGCCTGGTAGCATTCGGCTCTGCTTAACCGGAGGGTATCGGAACGTGCGTGTGCTTATATTCACTCAAAAAATATACACTCCCAACCGAAAGTTGTTTCTTGTATATTTATCAGTTTGCATAGGCTAATTTGTAAGGCTTTTTGCAAAATATGGTACACATACGAATTATGGCTGTTGAATAATGCTTCGGCTGATGTCCTTCAGAGCGTATTAGGCTATTTTTGTAATTTGCGCAGAGCACGACAACAAAATGTTACCTAATGTACTGTGTTCTCAATCAACGTCTTTGACAATATCGCATGTACAAGAAAATAGTAAAGAATGGTGAACCAAATTCAGTTTGTTGTGCCGTGTGAATTAATATCTAATCAAAATTTTGAAATCCTTTTGCTTCTTTATATTTTTGTAATCAAAGTAGGTAGAACATATTAAATGCGGTTGACCAAGACCACGAGAAAACTGCACAATTCTATCATTATCGTTTTATCTCGAAAAGAAAGATAAGCATTTTCTGTGTACTTTTACCGCTCGAATAGTTTCAACCAATCTGACCGTGTGGGGTTGATGGAAGCTAATCTCAACCTGTCTCCCAATTCCACTCCCCGCATCACTGTCAATAAGACACTGACAATCCACGAAACTCACCTTGGACAATTGTTGACCGAATTCGTCCAATTTCTGTTGCAACGGTGTCTTATCCTGTTCCGTGTCCATCATCTGGTTTCGGATTTTTCCAATCTCGGTCATCAGTCCGGTACACGTGACCACACCACGTGCTTTACCGGCCGCAATATTTGTACCGCTGAACAACAGATTCTTTTTGTCCTGGTTCACTGCACGCGGATCGGGCACAGCGTCCACAAATTTGATCACGGACACCGATTCGCCAGTCAGGATAGATTGATCCACGCGTAGAGTCGTGCTCATGATCTTGATGATACGCATGTCCGCGGGAACTTTGTCACCGACTGAAGTCAATCATATGACCAATCCGGTTCGACGGTTTTACGTGCGCGCGATGTTTTTGTGGAAGGAAAATCGAGGATTCGGAACTTTTAAATGAACAACTTATTTGGGCGAATATCTTTGTGGAAATGCGCAATCAATGCCTGCATGTTACACGTTACAAACAAACTGATGAACGGATATATCCGACTGACACACAAGCAGTCATTTTGGCGGGAATCCGACACCAGAGTGAATGGAATCGAATTTAGGCATGAATATTGAAAAAAATTGGGCTGAACGTTGTGGTTGTTGAAATAAGGGTACAATAACAGATCGGATAAGAAAAAAGTGGAGTTTGTCATTCTTACAGATTGGTTCTTATTATTAATGCGTTTGTTTTAGAATCTATTTTAGCTGTTAGACTTTACTAACTTTCGTGGATGATGTGCCCTGGAGATTGATGCGTCCGAGTTATTACTGTTTCCATGAAAAATAAAGATCTTTTTTCAATGAGAAAAATGGTGTGTAAAAAGTGGATTTGCTTTCGGGTTTAAGGTTGTATTTTGTATTAACTGAGTAAATCAGCTGAACGTCCGTTGATGACACGTTCGAAATTGTGAGTGACCATGATGGAAGAGTTATTTAGATCCGAGTGAGTGGTCTTCAAAGTAAGCTTTGAATCGTGGACTGTCAAAAAAAATCACCGGTTACGTGCGAAGGCGTCCGCACAACCGAATGGGGTTGCATAAAATACACTTCTGCATGCACAACGCGAAACGATCGGTATTGGAGTTTCAATGGGGCTTGGCAGATGAATGTTGTCTGTCACCGCTTACCTATGAGACGAAGAACGATCTGTACTGGAACTATTTATGTTGATGTGCTCTTACTTCCTATAGGTACACAGAAATATTATCATCAGTGATCAATTGCTGGGAGAACATTTGTTACTGTATTCAATTTTCCGTAGCACAATGTGAAGGTGAATAGAAATTGAAAGCTGTAGTACCTAGCCTCTTAGAATTCATTACCTTAATGATCAAAGTAGTTAGTGACATATTTTCGGTCTCAGTGAGACAAATTAACTTGTAAATATCTCCTCTCCGGTCACTTTGAAGGACACGGACTGCTGAACGTGAACTAAATTTATGTAATCCATATGTAAACTAATTTTACAATTGCATCATGCAAATTCATGAAAGAAAATTAATCGTATTGTAGGATGCTATGTGAAAAAATGTGAAGTGTCGCACCTTTTGGCCTAGAACGAAATTCCTTACTAATTATTTGGTGCAAAATCGTGGCGAATTAGAAGACGAAATTTGTGCAATCGTCTTTTAGGAGCTTCGAGCACAACTGAATATAGAATCCATTTTCTTTATCCATTCTCAACTTGATTATCGTAGTTACGGACGCACCTGGAAACTACTGAATCAGAGGTTACATACCAAACCGTATAAAATACTGGTGACTTAACTAAACGACAGAACGAACACAGATGATTGGTCTGCGTGCAGTTCCGTTTCTTGCGCGGTACCGAAACACTGGGTCATAAAGTGAACACTCTTGCACGTAAATCAAGAAACGCTTTCATGTTACAGTGCGACCAACTTTAATAGTACTAAATGGATTTTGCCTGGTGAAACATCCACACTTGTCTACTTATAAGTAGTTGATTTAGGCATGAACATATAATGCACTGTTAGATTCGACCGCTGTGTATTTTTTGAAAATCTGCTAATTTTATTTCGCAGATATCTATTAAACGTTTTAAATAATATGTATTAAAATGCATAAATGGTAACATTCACGGTTCAATAATACAGAACTAAATAAACTCGTATAATAATTAAAAGAACTTTTCCAGAGGACGGTTTATTGAATGCCGATTCCTAAAAGACCTCTGTTATTGCACCCATCTGATATCACAAATAAAGCCCAGCTATGTGAGTGATCTAAAGTAAATTGAGTAAACGATGTTCAATCAGTCAGATGACGATGAGTTTGTGTACGTGAAAACACACGACCTGATATCTCTTTTCATGGGATTTGCGGTCGCACACTGGCAATAGGAAACACTTGTGACAGTTGAATCAGCGTTCTCTTAATCAGTCTCCATCATCTGGGAACACACCCATTTATTCACTGTTTCCCACGGGTTAGATGTGGGAAACTGGTAATTCCTATCGAAAATCAGTCAAGTGAATAGGTGCATTTGTGTGGTCAATATACATCATTTACCAGGCTCGGATGGGGCAAAAATTAAGCGGGACTAAATATGTTGAGGGGCAGTGGACTCACCAGACACTTCCACAATATCACCAGGAACCAGTTCGCGTGCCTTGATCCGTTGAACACCATAGTGACTTTTCCGATAAACTTTGGCTATTTCCGGCTCGTATTCCTTCAGAGCTTCGATAGCCGATTCAGCATTCCGTTCCTAACCGGCAAATTGGCAAATGCAATGGGAAGGTAGGATGATTAGGATAGAGCGACGGGAGCAGTTGAAATATAGACAGGATTAATTTGATGAAAAATAATCCCTACATTAAAGCGAAACTCCTGCAAACTTTGCAAAATTATAACCAAACATTTTTAAATGTTGCTTTAAATGCTGGTGACTATTCGTTCAGTGGAATCATCTCACGCAAAAGTTTGTTTCGGCGACATAGTCAGACGTATATTTGTCACACGATAGGACAACGGAAGTAACGAATCTGGAGAATGTTCTGTTTTATTGTGATAACGGGAAGTGACAATACCAGGTCTAGGAAAATGTCTCAAAAATATCTTGCAAGTTTGGTTTTGATACACACTGGATCTTTCATGTAATTTCTCACTCAACCATTTTTATTTATTTACAAGAGTCTTATTATCCGAATGCCCTATCATTTGAGTTATGCAAGAACAGTTGTACACCTATTTATTTGATCCCGTCTAAAGGTGATATGATTCTCAGGAAGTCAGCAACAAATGCTATTTGAAAAATCCTTCATACTGGAACTTGAAGGGCCTTCAACAATAATAAAGGAACAAGAGATTATTTATCGTTCTTCAAGTACTGTTGAGATGCGTAATTATAAACTGTTCAAACCTAATAATAATAATAATACTATGTGAAACACCAGAAGAAATTCACGTTTTTAAATTTATTCATTGATTCTGTATGAATGATACAATGCCAAAGTATATCAGGTTAGTTCCAAACATGGTTCACCTGTATACAAAACAAAGTGTAAAATTTGACGTCCAAATCGATCACGCAACAGGGAACACATGGTAATAACAAAGCAATAATGACGTACTTGCCACACACCAATAACCGCATTGGCAACCAGGATGAGCAGAATGACAAACGGTTCCACAAATGCACTGATCGTCTCTTCTGATTCTTCAAACAAAGCGAGCACCTGGATGTTGTTGTCCGAGCATCAGATTCATGTGATATTCGAGGCGGATTCGAATCAAGGACGAATGAGACGTGATATCATTTCAACTCATTCAACGAGACAATGAAAGTTAGGCCAATGTCAACAAAATATTTATTTGAAATAAATTCTACCCAGAAGATGGTATTGCTGAAGTTCAAATGCTACATTCTGTATGCGTTCTGTACACTCACCGTGCAAGCAAATACCTTATAATTCAATTTCATGCAATCGTGGCTGTTTTCCAATTGTACTAAATCAATACAGACTACTTATTTGATTCGAGTAGCTCAAATGAAATTCAGTTAAATGTGTTTATCCCAGTCACTTCACATGTAAGATGATAACATTCTTTATATGCAAAAGACGATAAAACAAATCAGTACTTACAAAAGAGATGATGGCGGCCAACAGTAGAATTTTCACCAACAAATCATCGAATTGTTCCAAAACGAGTTCCCACAAGGGCTTAGCTGTAAACAACGAAATGATATAGCGGATGAAAATAGCGAAGTTTTAAGCAGAACTGCTAGAAATACCTAAACAATTTTTTCCATTGTTATAGGGCAAAGTAATCAGTTTATAAAGTTCGTAAACTTTACTAGCTTCATTCTGAAATTTGCCATATTACCCCTGGAACTGATGGGTTGGAGTAGATTACATATGCTTTTATCCTACAGGTACTGATCTGCTTCCCTTCCAATTGTTTACACAATGAAGGGTATAGCATTTTGATAGATTGTATAACACACTTTTTCGAATGAACGGTTATTTTTTCTATTTCCAACTTTGCTTATGTGACACTGTTCTTTTCTGTGATGAAGTGTTCTCATCTGGTATAGTGGTACATGTGATTCTTTATTTTAAAAGTGTAATTAAAAAGTAAGATGCTTGATTAACCACGAGCAATTGGGAAACATTCATATGGTGTATTTTTAACTCACTTTCTTCGGCGGGAAGCTCTGGAATAGAAATAAGATAGGTATATTGAGACCTCTCAATTTACAGTAATTTACAGCAATTTAAGTAAAACAATATTCATTTTGTAAACACTTGAGAAATCCATTTGCATATCCAGAACCCCTCCTACCAGTTTTCATAAGTACGGTAATCATTATCTATGAGATAAAAAATTTGGAAATGAGCTATGTGAACCGTTTTCAAACATTCCCCTAGGTAAAGCAACAAATATGGTGACTGATTACTTCACGCATGCCTTTCAAGCACTAAAAGTTACATTAGCACTTTACAAGACACCTCCAACTGAACATATCAAGTAAGCCTACTGCAATTTGAATTTTCATTTTTAGTGGCTGTGGCATTCACAGAGTCTTCCTGAATCGTGAAGGCTNGATTCCTTTGTAGATACAGGTATGTTTGTTCTCCAAGTTGCATGGTGTAAAACTCGGGGGAATCGTAAATCAGATATTTCTCACAACCAACTGTCTCTGTCCGTTATTTTCCAACATTGGATTCGTAGTCAATAGCGGAACCAAGTTCTTTCATGATCCTCTCCTCTCAGCCCTATTAGTGTATCACAGCATGTGATTCCTACTTTGTCCGTTGTCAGCAAAACTGAACTCAATCGTGGAGTCAGAAACAACCTCGATTGGCGTTCATTGAGGAGAAAGTAGACTGAATGACTAACAGCAGCAATAATGACTCTTTTCGATGACTGATATAAAAGAATTGTCGTTCTGAGACCGCATACAGTCTATCGCACTGGTTTCTCCTACGGGGCTCTGAATGATNAGTGCAAGGGTGTCGCCGTGGCGAATAATCGATATTCACTCCCGCAAGAAGAATTGTCTACTCAGAGCAAAAAACATTTTAAAACCGCTCAGCGATTCTGAACTTTATTTTATCATTGCTTATCGTAGCTCTCCGTCTAATTCTATTCACTATGCAACTACAAATATATGAATGATGAGTCCCTAACAATTTTAATATAGACAAGTTGCACCTCGGGTAAAAAACTGTTTCCGCGATTGATGTGGCGTAGACCATAGTAAGCTGTAAAAGTTTTACAGATCAAAATTGAATATTTATTTATGAAGCGAAGAAACCGAATATTCTCCTATGTCTATTTCCACGCTTTCGTGGAAACGAATTCTTTGTTTATCTTGGAAGTGGTAAGTCTTCATCAGACGTTCCACCAGTATTTCTGTGCATCAAACTACAAATGTCCCTGATCCTAAAGGTTCGAAAGCAATAACTGAATGGAATGTTGCGAAAATTGGTTAAAATATATCTTTACAGATGATAGTTAGACACTTCTTTTCAATCAATGCAAAAATTATCGCATACATGTAAGGAAGTATTGACAATTTGAGAATTGGACAATAGAACAATGCAGACGACGCATAGGTTTTCATTTTTGTTCATTTAAGATGCATAGTTATAGGCATGTTTCAGAAGGCTGATTGTTCAACTCACCGTTTGGACCGTATTTGGCGGACTGTCGTTTGACTTGTTCGTCAGACAGACCGGTCTCGGGGTCCACATCAAAATGTGCCAAAACTTCGTTTACCTCTTTCGCGAATGCGTTTTCCATTCCGAATGAGGTAAACTATGTGCAATCGAAATGGTTCGGGAAAAGTGTTGAGCCACAAATGCTCTGGAGGACGCCGGTGTCTTTATCCGTTTTGTTCAAATGTCAACTCTTTCTCTAGGGTTTAAGAGCGAATGAATGGGATTGAGTGGGAAATTCCAATGATGAGACAAATATCGGACTAGTGGCACAAGCTGCGGCGTTTCTGTGTGATAGAGCGCGCACGAGCGAGCGCTACTGTGTGTGTTTGTGAACGTTAGCTCTTGTGGACGAGCTCTTTCAAAAGCTCGAACGAAACAAGAACGCCGATAGTCAACTGATCCGGTCCGGTTCGGACGCACAGGGAAATCTCCGTCGCTGGGGTCTGTAAAAATACGATCGACCTATCCGAGCGTGGTGGGTGCTGGTGTGAGGGTCGCGTGCAAACCTGGCCTTGGAAGCATTAGTACCCCAATGCATGTCAGTCGTGGGACCCAGGCCCAATACGGACAAGGTTGTACTAAGGCTTGGTATGCGTTGGCGTTCCTGTCCCTCTGGATTTGTGTGCACTTCACGTCACTTTTGTACGGGGCGATGGGGGGAAGCGGCTAGTTCAGTAATAACAGTCAGAGCAATAGCACGCTTGCTGTGTATCTAAAAGATACCCGGTGAACGTGTGTCTGTGCGCGCACACGTGTGTCAGGATTGGTTGTGTCTGTCGTCTTGGGGATCAGAACTGTGCTTAGGTTTACACGGTATCGAACTGTAGCCGTACTGGGGCAAAACAGGGAATTGTGCACACTCATCCACCCACTCAATACAGACGCGCACAGCGGCAAACCTATAGATGAAACAGAAAAGCACCACTCTCTCTTTATGTGCACAAGCGCACGAAAGAGGCCGGAAGAGACATGTCGTAAAAAAAAGACTGTTGCTAGTTGCAGTTTTCCAATTTGGGCACAAATCTCTCCGGACCGATCGGTTTTGTGAAAAAGACTGACCTTCAAACTGTTGGGACGTTCTAGGTGTGTGCTTGGGTGTGCGCCTATGTGACTATCCCTCGAAGTTCATTCGTTCGTTCGGACACACTGGGAATGAGAAGAAAAGGTAAGGACAAGAGAGAATGCATCGGGAACCTGAAGGCGAATCATGGTCAAAGTGCCAACCAGTCGATACCATGTCGTGTAATTGTGCCTAATGAAGGGTGCTAGAAAAAGGTAGAAAAACAAACTGAAAATTGCCACTTCCAGGTTCAGTGATCGTTTCCTCAAAAACCTGAATGAAAATACTCGCATGAGAGATGGAGCAATCTACGATTATTCAGTTTCATCTGCTCTGATCTCTGAATTAAATCTCCGAGAGCACATGCGTTTGTGTTTGTTTTTAGCAGTTGGAGACAGACGCATGTGGGTATTTGGGACATTATTGCACACCATGCGACAAACGTGCAGATAACTATTCGACAAATTAGCCCCATTTGTTTCACACGGGGACGATAAACACTGCAGTACGGGTGTTTGCTTATTCCAGTTAGTTCCATTAGACCTGCGTCAGATTCATCGGAAATGAAGCAGTAATGTGATTGCAGTTACACATGCCAATACCCAGCTTGTGTTTTACGAAAAACACGCAATGTAAAATCCCTAACCGGATTTACTATTTGTGGAAACAAAAGGACAGAACTGCGGTGCTCCCTAGACTGAGAATGTTATTAATTTCAGACTTCTCTGCAATGCGACTCGTTACAGTGCCTCAATCCTTTATTTTCATTTAAATAAGCCGTGTATTTCTCAAACAACTTAGTTCAAGCGTATAGAAACCAGTTTACCCCAGAAGGACAGATATCTCATGCACACCTTCTTAAAGTTAAACTATGTTTGAACTTATTCCAGTGCATCGAAAATTTATCACAAAGTTCACAGTGATAAATGCCTCGATAAACTATACTTGTCACTCCGGTGAAGATAAAACTTCTCATATTCACTCAGTAAAAGCTAATATCAGTTATCTCTTTGGGATTGAATAGAAGACGATCTGTAGATAATCTTTTCACAAAAGTATTTTTACTGTGTATCCAAACAAGCTCCGGGAACTTATCGGTGAATGCGAATTCAAGTGACCATTGCAATTGTCCTTTGATTGATGGGCAACAACGTTATTGACTGGATCAAAACCTAACAGATTCCCTAGGTTACAACGGGGAATCAGCACGGTAGACAAAGTGATGCATTATTCCAATACTGATCATAGGAAATCATGTCTTACATTGTAAATGACTCATAGAACTGCAGCACATACAAGCGAGCGCTGAGTGAGAACGAATTTCAGCTCTCTGATTGGCTCATATTAGAAATCGTTGAACAGTCGAAGGAGTTCTCGTATGCTGGATTTTTTGGTCTACAACACCTGCGAACTGTGTGCGCGCTTGTAAATAAGGAAGGCGTCATTCGTGCTTAGTCTAGTGACTCCCCTTTAACGGTGAGTGAACACGGTCATCTGGATGGGGTAATTACACACCACCACTTCCACCTGATTTCCCGCTGTAAATTGTACATTAACAACTTGATTTGAAAAGTTGGAAATCTTACAACAGGATGTTCATATACATACGGGCCACTGAGAGTCATCCATGAAGAGTTTGTGAAAAACTCTGAGAAGACAGAACTTGGCGTATGCAGTATGTGCTTTCTCACTCAGTTGTTTGAACCAACCACTAGAAACTCTAATGTTGTTCATGGTAACTGCAGTTTTAACTTAAATCTCATGGGTGAAAATTGCCAAATAAATTGAGTGCAATCACAGTAACTTTCATACCAAGAGGTCGAAATTACAAACGGATATAAATTGTGTTCTGGATCGGTCAACGAGAGAGCCGGATCTGATAATAAAATAACTTCATCGATACGGAAAGAAGACAAATGTCACCAGATGTTAACATTTCGTGTAATCTCCTCAATTGCTGACTTAAAACAAACACGCACGGAGTTGTTCAATTACAGAGAATGAACGTGCATACAAACGTACGAAGACCACTGAACATAGAAGTTGAAGGTCAACTCCACGGTAAGTGGATTGATTGTATCAAAAACCGTTGTGTGCATAAGTTTCGGTGATGCAATCGAATAAATAGCGCTTCACTAATTGCCAATAGTTTAGCATCAAGATGAGGTAAAGATGACCTGAATAACGAATATGGTCAACTAAGTGCTTAGTGATCTTTGTATGCTTGTACACTTTCATGCACTACAATGGAACAATCCCAGTTGTGATATATGCGTCTGTTTATTTTAAGTCAGCGATAAAAAAGATCGAATGAAAGTTTAACGTCTCGTGACAATAAAGGAGACACATCGTGAATATTATAATGCTAAGAACACAGCGATGTCGGTAGAGAATTATATTCGCCGACGTTTCGGTTACCGTGGGTAACCTTTCTCAAGGCAGGTTTTACAATCAAATGACACAGAGGAAGGGATCACAAGTTAACGGATATTTCATTGTGTGTGTGTGCGCGTGTGTCTTTGTCTGTGTGTGTGTGTGTGGTGGGCTGAATGATTCGTTGTCCGTCATACTAACTCCCATTATCAGATGGGGTCAGGTGGTACCGTGGCCATTATCATGATTACGTGTTAGGGATTTTAGGGTAGTCCAAATGCTCGGGGTTTCGATTCCGTCGTTTCTGTTGACACATGCAGAGTAGGTGTTAATGGCCAAAGCTTCGGCATACGAGCGTTCAGTGCATGTTCGAAATCCGATGTGGAATATTTTTGGGTTGTCGTATCCTATGGTGTGAGCTTCGGCTATGGCGTGAAGAGCGATCGCTGAGACTCGTTCCAGTTTTGCCAGAGTTGGTTTGTCCGTAGGCCGATGTTTTCTTTTCTCTACTTTTCAGTTATGTTTGTCTTAGGTTGTCTGCTGGTTTGCTCAATGTATTCTGTGAGGCATTCTTTACAACTGATTTTGTAAATGCAGTTGTTTTTATCTTGCTATTCGACCGGATCTTTGGCTTTCACGAGATGTCGTTTCAGAGTGTTGTCAACCCGAAAGAATGTTTGTATGTTGAAATCGCCGAGAATCTTTTTGATTGCTTTTGAAGTGCCTGATCTATATGGAATGCCAATAGAGGTTACACGGTATTTTCTGTCATTAGGTTGGATCACTGGTTTGTTCGCTTCTAGCTGGCATCTTTCCAGGAGTGACGGATAGTTATTGTCTTCTAGCAAATTTCTGAGGCGTTTTATTTCCATTTTTTCGCTAGTTTCTTCATTAAAAAGCTTTTAGACTATGTCATCCAGAGAGGAGATAAGAGTCCGTTTTACATATCGCGGATGAGCTGATTCAAACGTAAGAGTTTATCCGAATGTGTCGGTTTTCTGTGAACACTGATGGCAAATTTGCGTGAGTTGTTCACCCTGGGGTGACAGACTAGAAAACATTATAACATTCACGATAAACACAACACATGGAGCATTGATTTTTTGATAAACTCCTAACATATTTTGGTGTATTTAGTAGATTGAAAAGGGGGACACAATGCTTCAAATAAAATAATTGCGATTATTTCCCACAGAATTAGAGATTCTGTGAGGAGATATGCATTTCAATTGAATGTAGTTAAAAGGCACGTCAGTACGATTGCTATCCAACGATAAAAAGGCCCTAAATCTGGGTCGTGGAATGAAGAGCGGTCTGTCTAACTGTCCAGTTGCCGAGTAGGTAGTATGCTTGCGTTCCACCGGATTCGATTCCTAGTTCGGACAACGGATTCGCGCTACTGATGGGACCCAACCAGGTTAAAGCAACTGTACAGTACTTCTTAGCTTTTCACTTCATGCTTAATTTGCTTTATTTAAGGTAAAATCCAATATCTCATTGAACCACATCATCAGTAACTATTGTCAAATAATGTTTAATGACATAGGTAAAACGGACTTTAATTTCATGGCTTTTGGAACAAATCAGTCGATTGTTACAACTAAAACATTGAGGCATGTTTGTTTCCGGCATGCAAAGCAATTGGATAT